CTTTAAGATTCATTAAAATACTTATTATTATAACTGGTGCAATATTGGAGCCTACAGAGTTCAATGGGTTAAGTTTCGAGTGCAAAGGGTTAACTGTTACTGTAATATTCAGTTGAATTCGATGAATCTGAGTGTTCGTTTGTTTCGAACGACTTGTTAATTAGTTTATCTTCCGATCGAGGTCGGAATTTTTAGAGAAACTCTCGTGCGCCGGATTCGATTTAGAGGATATCGGGTTTAATGGATAACGCGCACTGCGCGCGTTAATCTGATTGTTTGTGGATCGCGAGTGCTATTAATTATAGAGGATCATGTTTTTTTAATGACTCGTGTACGGGAAGTAATGAATGTATGGTCAACTGAACGGAAGTCGTAATTGCTTGACGATGTTGGTAATTAGTAAAATGGAACGGTGTTCATTTACGTTGATTTTAATTTCGGCTGATTGATGGTTCGTTTGTTGTGCCGCGGCGACTGTTTTCGGGAGCAATGTTTAAGTGCTATTCGATACCCGCGATTTTCAGTGTATCGTTCGCTGTGACAGTACGTGGAACTTCGTTTATCTGAAACTATCGAAGACAGCTTTCTTTAGAGCAATACTGTCTCGACACTTGTCTGATCAGTGACGACCACTATCACTCCATTCTCCCTTACGAAACCCGGAAACTCTCTTACGGAATCCAAAATCTAAATGAACGAATATCACCTTCCCCAGGAACAATAGAATAAACTGTACAATAAATGCCCGTAAACCTAGTGTTAAAATATTTAACATTCAACTTCATAGGTTTGCTGTATCAAATCAACTATTGACTAAGAGTCACCTCTCGAGTGCAAAGGGTTAATTTCCAAGAGGTTAAATTGATCCCTTTCTATCAGTTTCTTTCAAATCTCACTTTCATCGTTTTCTAACGATTTCCCCATCTCGCTATAGGGTGTCCTATATCGTACAACCGAACGAAACAATGAACAACGTTAGCAAACTGATCGCAGTCGACGTAAGTCGGAAGAAGTGTCGCCGGACGGAAGACAAGCTCCTCGTAGGAGGGTCGTGGCGCGTTCGGAGGGTGATAGCTCCGAGGATAATGATAATCCGAGCCTCTAGCCTAGTCCTGTCCCGGGGGATGCAGGGATTAATTGACACATCGGCGTTTCGGAGGCGAGTCTTCTGTGCTGGCGCCTCCGGTTCGCTATCCGGGGCGACGTGACTGATGAGACGCCTCGAACAAGCCGTCGTGAAAAACACTCATGGATTCGTTCGCTGTTTTTTCTCTGTCGCCC